CGGCCCCTACGAGCCAAAAAGCCGTCAGCTCCAGCCCTTCGACGTTCAAATTAATAATCACGTGGACTAGGGCTGATCATGTGGACTAGGGCTGGAGATAAGGTGCTGCGCTGTTGGAAGAGCTGCTTGCTTCTTCTGAGAACCCGAGTTCGAGTCCTAGCGCTCACAGGGTGCCTCGCCACCCATTCCAGGGGATCCAACGCTTTCTTCGGGCCTCCACGGGCCGCCCATAGCTTACAGGCACGTATGCAAAAAAAATCGCCCCAAACACATCAAATTTAAAGCATAACAGCAATAAATTAGGATCACATGGACTTATTCAGAAAGTGATAGTTTATAGGGGTCTCCCCTGCCCATTACAATGCCGTTTTAGGAGGCTATGGGAGGGAGGGAGTGCTAAAAATGAGAACTCCAATTTTTGAGTTGCTTTTGTTTGCTTCCCATTACCCTGCTTAATGTTATTATCCCACACACCATCCTCCTGAGGATGCTGGGAGTGCTATGTCCTCTGGCCTCTGAGGGCCACTGCGCTTTGGTGCACATACTCATCCCCACGCACATATACAAAGTAAAAAGAATAAAAATAGACCTTTTTAAAATACCCAAGTAGCCGAGCGTTGGTGGCGCACGCCTTTTATCCCAGCACTCGGGAGGCAGAGGCAGGCAGATCTCTGTGAGTTCGAGGCCAGCCTGGTCTCCAGAGCGAGTACCAGGATAGGCTCCAAAGCTACACAGAGAAACCCCGTCTCAGAAAAAAAAAAATGTATATGATATTGCAAAATAAAATTTTCAGATTTTGTTCAGATTCCTCAAAATTACACTCCTCCCAGTATTGTCCCAAGATTGCTGCCTGCCCTAACCCCCACTTGGTATTTTCCATTTGACTACTGACAGACTGCTCATCCCTCAAAACTTGATTTAGATTCCATCTCTTCATTACTGACTTGTTTTGTTTTGTTTTTGAGACAGGGTATCTCTGTGTCTGGCTGTCCTCGAACTCACTCTGTAGACCAGGCTGGCTTCCAACTCAAAGAGATCTGTCTGCCTCTGCCTCCCAAGTGATGGGATTAAAGGTATGTGCACCATCACTGCCCTGCTGATACTGAATTTTTAAAAATAATTTATTTAATTATTGTACCTACACGTATGTCTGTGTGAGCGTATCAGATCCCTGGAACCCAGTTACAGACTGTTGTACACTGCCATGTGAGTGCTGGGAATTGAACCCAGGTCTTCTGGAAGAGCAGTCAGCATCCTTAAGCACTGAACCATCTCTCCAGCTCTGGCTACTGGATATTCTTCAGCCTCCAGCCCTCTGTTTGCAGTAAACATTTGTTCTCACTGAAAACACAACTACTTGCTTGCCTTGAGAAGGCCTAGCCTTATGTATGCTTCCCTCTCAGGGCCACCTAAGACCTGAAGACTTTTCCTTGTCACATGTTGTGTGAGCTCATTGGACATACCTGGGAATTGTGAGTCTGGCATGCAGTTCCACTTTTGCACACAGCTCCGTGACTGTGACTAGTTTCTGCCAGTGCTCTCAGCCCCAGTTTTCTGGTCTGCAAAATGGGACAGCACAGCAAGTCTTGCAAATCTCATGGATTTTATTTTTGACAGAAGAGAGAGAGAGAGAGAGAGAGAGAGAGAGAGAGAGAGGGAAGAGAGAGGAGAAAGAGGAAAGAGAGAGGGGAGAGAGAAAGAGAGGAGAGAGACAGAGAGAGGAGAGAGAGAGAGGGAGAGAGGAGAGAGAGAGGAGAGAGACAGAGAGGAGAGAGAGAGGAGAGAGAGAGGAGAGAGAGAGGAGAGAGACAGAGAGGAGAGAGAGAGGAGAGAGAGAGGAGAGAGAGAGGAGAGAGACACAGAGAGGAGAGAGAGAGGAGAGAGACAGAGAGAGGAGAGAGAAAGAGAGAGAGGAAAGAGAGAGGAGAGAGAGAGGAGAGAGACAGAGGAGAGAGAGAGACAGGAGAGAGAGGGAGAGAGAGAGAGAGGAGAGAGAGAGAGAGAGAGAGAGAGAGAGAGAGAGAGAAAGCAATAGGTGGCAGTAGCTTCCCACTTTAGACGACAAGAGAGAGGTGTGAGGTAGAGCTCCTGTGACTGTCACTTGGGCAAGCAATGCTCCTTCCTCCACCTTCCAGCCCAGCACAGGCCCTCCTTTCCCTGGCAGCTCAACTCTTTAGAAAAGCACACAAATTTGTTTTCATGTAGAAATTCAATGTTAATTTTTTTCAATGCTAATTTTTAATTTGGAAGAGATTAAATGCTATTCTAATGCAACCCATCCAGAATTTTAAATGGGAAAATTTAATGTCTCGGGAAAACACAACAAAGTGTAGGCTGTGATTTTATTTTATAAGGCAGGTGTTCAAATTCAAATGTCTTCAGAGATAAGACAATTTGACTTAGGTAATGAGAAGGACTGTGGCAGCCCAGGCTGGCGCCTCCTGTTGCCACTCTTAGCCCTTGATTCGTGGTAGTTCTTAGTTTGTATGAAACTCTAGATCAGTCTGGCCTAGAACTCACAGAGATGTTCTTACCCCTGCCTCCTGAATGCCAGATTAAAGCTGTGTGCTACTATGCTAGGCCTCTCCTTTGTGTTTAATGAATGCATTTCTCAACATTGTGCTTGTGAGAGTCACCATATTATTGCTTGGCAGAATCGTGGTATTTTTCACTGCTGCATAGTACTTCATTGGATGAATTTATCAATCCCTTCTACTGACGATGGAAATTCCATGTATGTCCAGCTTTGCACTATTTTGAATAAAGCTGCTAGTGTCATTCTTTGCTCACTCCCATTAAGTTGCAACATATGAGTTGAATTTTTGGTCCCAGAGGAACTCAGTATCT